CCTGTAGCACATATGAATCTCGACAATTTGCATAACAATGATAGACGAGGGAAAAAAAGTCAACTAGATGATGAAGCACAACGAGTAGGTAATGATCTGAGAGGATCGATGTAGACGTATTCCCTATAGGGAGTTGATTTATGTGAATCATTATTCGGTTGCGGATGATTATTACGAGTGGTTCAACACGAATGAGAAGTCGTTCCTTTTTTTAGAGGAAGTACGAGGTAAGAGCATTCATCGACGTCGAGAAAAGCGTCCACCATCACAGCATCATCATCCCCCCAACTCGTGGACGGAGAGTAGCTGCTTCCAGTTCATCCTTAGCTGTAGCACCAGAACCATCATAGTAGCCATCATCTAGACAAGTTTATATTCCACAACCGTTTCACATGCCATCATAGTTGGGTTAAATGCCACCGCAACCATTTCAGATGCCACCATAACTGGTTCAAATGCCACTGCCGCAGGGTTTTATGACACCTCCTGGTGGATATTATAGTTATATGCATGTAGATCCAGCGTGGGCTTCACATGCTGCTTATTTGACGAGTGATGCTTCACCACATACTCATACACCTCCGACCTAGTTTTCACAGTCATCGATGTCGATGTTTTTACAGTTTTCTATAATCGATGGGATGATTAGTCATACACCTCTAAGGTACTTATTCTCTGGAGGTGCTACATCTTCATCTGTCCCTCATCAGCAAAATGTAGTTGTTACTACTGATGACGACGACGATGAGAGTGAGGAGTAAGAATAACTTATATGAAGAAACCCTCATCGAAATAGACAGCCACTGCCCTGTGGAATACATTTAAGACACAGACATCGATAGACTTGTTTAGTTTGTAATATTTTTATTTAATTTTCTTTATTTATCAACAAATGTAATGTTTTTATTTAAATTATAGACTTTCTATTTATTGTGTTTGTTAATGTTTTTATTATTTATTTGTTTGAATTGTATAGTTTGTATTTAATGTTTGTATTTAATTGTTTTTATTATTTAGTTTATAATGTTTTTACTTAATTTTCACTTGAGTAAACCATTATTTAGTGATGCTCAAATGACATTAATGCAAGGAAAACGAAAATGAAATAACACAAACTGAGATTTTAGAAACAATAATTTCATCATCACAACATCAACGATTATGTGATGATAAAAGATATGAACATATTTTCCTATTATGGCCTAGGTTTCTACAATGTCCACATCTTTTGTTTTCTTTTGACATCTCTCGAATATCCATATCACAATGAATTCAAGTGGATTTTGGATGATCTACCTTCCTTAATAAAGACAGATTTTGGAAGCTAATTCTGAACCTCATCTAGGTATTTCTCATTACCTATGGGGAAATTCAAATTCATATACCTTAAATACTTCTAAAATTATTTATACGGGATCCACAAAAATTGTTACAATCTTGACTGGTATAAGAGCAAGCTGCTATGGCATGAGAGCATGAATACTTCAGAGCTTGAAAAAAACCCAAATTCACACCACCTGTCTTGTAGATTAACTCTGAATGAGTTAACTTCAATCCCTTGAAGAGGTCGTGACATTTCTATGACATGAAATAATTCATGGGTTCGAGAGAATCTTGTTACAAACATTCCATTTATAGCATCAATTCTTTTTTATAGATCTGCAACTAATATTGGGTGATAAACATGACCGCTTTACATCCAAGTTTTAGCTTGTCCCCCGAGCTCGGCAAAAAGTGCCCTCAAACAAAAATATATCGTTTTAACCAAAGTTGTTACTGGAAAATAGCACGCCCCCTTTAAGGTCAAATTGATAGCCTCAACCAAGTTGGTTGTCATGTGTCCTTATCAATATCAACCATCATATGCATTTTGTCCACATTTTGTTGTTGATGAAGCTGACGTGATTGTATCCTTGCTAGTTTTTTACTCGCAAATCTTGAAACATTGACTTAAACATTTGAGGAAATAAGTCGTAACCTGAGCGTCAAATGTAGTACTTATTGTTAAGTCCTCATAAAAAAATAAAATGATGGAGAAATAAAAATAGGAATTGTGACATACTCATATGCACAAGTAATTGGCGTTCATTATTCTTCTTGAACTTTCCATGTTAGTTTACGGTAATATGTCATATACAATACTGATGTTGGACATAGGGTGGTTGCCACATTTGACCCAAAGACTCCATTGCTTCTTTGATTCCAACTCCGCGATCTGAAATGACACATATTTTTTCCCTCGTGACAATATGTACGAGTAAATTTTAAGGAAAAAAAAGGCCAAAAATATGTATCTTCTCCTTCAACAAGGGCAAAAGAAACTGGAAGAATATTGTGATTACCATCTTGGACAACTACCAATAATAGAAATTGCTTATATTTCCATACAAAAATGTCCCATCAATTTGAACCACGGGCTTCCAATATTTCACAACATTAATGCACTGTGAGTAAGTCCAAAAAACCGATAGAATTAGCATCGATTGTGAAACACTTGATCATTGTGGTATGCATGGAAGGTTTCAAAGTCGACTATTGTCCCAGGATTCAGTTTGCGCATTACTCTAAACCAACTTGGTAATTCGTTGTAAGATGAATCCCATTCACCGTGAAGTTTTTTAATAGCATTTTGCTTTGCCTTCCATATTTTCCTATAGGAGACGGTGTATCCATATTGAGACTATAGCTAAAAGCAACACCGCAATAACTATATGAGAGCTTGTTTTGACCATGGGCATGATGACTTAGCAGATAATGTTAGAGTCCATGTTGGGATTATACTAGTTGATTCCTCTAGCACAACATGTATGAGGACCTTTGTATACTGTTAGTTACCATATGTTATTTTTCCTCTTTTTCTTCGATACACGCACCATCCAGTTGCATATGTTATCATGTTGGACACAATAACATACATACTTTTCGGTGGTAGATTGGTCGACTCTAAAGTGAACAGAGTTACGAATGTTGTAATTTTTAATTACAATCATCACTTCTTCTTTCGATGAAAACTCCATTCTGATCACCATCATTTACTGATGAGTTAAATATGTAGTCACCAACATTAGGTATATCCGTAAATTATGACACATACATTGTACCATAGTCAGTTTCATATATGTATGCTGGAGGTTCTGTTTGTACCGTATTTTTGGGAATTTCATCTACATCATCATCATCAGAGTTCATGTTGAATTGTGCTGATTCTGGCTCAACGAATAGTCAAGTCTTAACACCATTCACACTTGGCTCATTAAGAGGTTCTTCTGGCGGAGATGAAGGTTTTTTCGTGATACCGATATTTATGTTGAACAAGCTGATAATTGAATTTCTTCCCCTTGAACTTGAAGGTATCATGTCATACGAGTTTTGAATTGAGTGTTGTGTCGTAGGCATCTCAACATTGAGGTCAAAGAAGCTCGTAGTTAAATGCCTCCCCTGGTACTTGAAGGCATCGTGTCAAATGTGTATTAAACAGATTATAGTGTTGAGGGCATCCCTATATTCAAGTCAATGAAATCGGCAGATGAATGCCTTCCCCTTGAACTGAAATCGATATTGTCATACAGATTATTCGTGGAGCCACATCGATAGAGATCGTAACAAGTTACCGATGAATGTATCCCCATTGAACTTGATGTGATGGTACCAGGATATAAATTTCCTATTAACGAGTTAAAATCATTACACATTACTTGAGTTGGACTGTCAACTTGATCAGCTTGTTGAGCCAACCCATAGTGGGAGCATAATGACATATCATGAACCGCAGACACTTCAACAAATGTCGCATACATTTATATATCAGCGTCTGAATTTTGATTATGAGAATCAACCATCATAGCAACATAGTCATCGTTGGAGAGTTTGAACGTTGTATAAGTTAACAGAAATACTACAATTAAAAATATGTACTAAAGTGAGGACAATCTTCTAGTACTTCAAACATGAACCTTCATTGAAATTTTAATGATCAACTCCTTAAGTGTGATGTTTTTCGTGAAGGATATTCTGAAAGAATAATTTGATGCGAAGAAAACGCCGATTTCATATTCCTGAATTTCTCCATCATAGTAAACAATAGCTGAAATACTCCTAATTAAATAAATAATATACGAATTAAAATATAAACTAATGCTAAAAAAATAAAAAAAAATTCACAGTAAATTAAACAAAACAATTTAATATTGTTACTGTATCGACAAAATATCTCGAGATTTGATCTCGCATTTCATTTTACAATCACAAAAAAATTAATACAAAATAGTTAACACCAAATAATTCAAAAAATAATTAAATATAATATAAATATAATATAATTAAATATAAAATAATTCAAATAATTAAATATAAAATAAATATAATATAATATAATAAAAAATAATTTTACCTTCTAATAACTATAACAAAATCTAATTAGCTTGATAGAAGAAATTGATAGAAAGAAGAATGTGAAAATAATTTTAATGTGGTTTGATGTTTGTATTCGGGTATTTATAGGGAGGGAATGGATAAGTCGCCCAACTTTAAAGTTCGACATAATAATAGAGTACCTAATAATTTAATTTAAATAATAGAAGACGCAGATCTTCCGCTGCGTGTCAACTTTACCACAAAAGCACGGATTATGATCAACATTTTACCTACGTGACGTCAGACAAAATCTCATAAAAAATACATTTGGTGATCTACACCTTACGTCCGTATCAACAAATAAGTTTTAAATTAATAAAATTTGATCAATAAGATACTGACATGCAGATTCATTCTTTAGTTAATTTTTTTGGGTAAAAACGCCACTAACAAGAGGACAAGAGGATAAGAACTCCGAGTGCACATTTTCTTCTACTTCCGACCGTTCGATCAGTCCACAAATCTCATCCGACGGTCATTATTCAACCCCCAAAATGTACTTTTTTCTCCCTTAAAAGAAGAAGAATAAGAATACTCGGTATATTTAGTCTTTTTCTCAGTGAGTTTGGCTAGGGAGTGTTGTTTATGGTAGTGGGATTTAAAGATCAGCTTGAGCCTCAATCAAAGCTAATTTCTCTTTCATTTATTCTTTGGGGGTCACACTGTTCAGCTTAAAGTTCTAAGCTTTTTCCTGTGAATTTCCGATATTCTTATCTACCTACCCAAAAGGGAAAAAAAGTAGAAATTTCAACATTCAACTACAACTACTGCTGGTAATTTCTTCAACTATTCTTGATGTTTCTGTTCTTTTTCTTCTTCTTCTTCCCATTCAACTTTGGAATTTTCTGTTGCAGTTGTTGTAGCAAGCGTGACAATCTCTAGTGGAAAATTCTTTTGAGGCGAACTATATTTTCTTAGTTGTGTAATCTTGAATCTATTCCATTCCCTTTTAATCAACTTAAGTCCGCCATTTATTTTTGATTCACTTCTTCTTGAGCTTATCTTGCACCTCTTTTCTCATTAACCCAAAGTATCAGTCTTTACCCTGAAATTTTTAATCTTTGTGCTTTGGATTTTTATTGTTTCGTTGATTTCTAGTTGCAAATCGAATCACCCCTTTAATGGGATTTTTTGGTTTTGGGAATAGTGAAGCAACTCTTTTGATTAGCTTTAAGAAATGGTATCCAGATCATACTCGAATCTCTTAGAGCTTGCCTCCGGTGAACCTCCATCTTTAGGCCGAATTAGCCGGCGGATTCCCCGGATTATGACGGTCCCCGGGATCATTTCCGATATTGACGATGAACTGTCGGAGAGTGTATGCTCCGATCCATCCTCCTCCTCCTCCCAGAAAGATCGAATTATCATGGTAGCTAATCAACTGCCCATAAGAGCACATCGAAAATCGGATAATAATAAAAATAGCAGCAGCACCAGCAGCAATGGTTGGATTTTTGGCTGGGATGATAATTCACTTCTCCTTCAAATGAAAGATGGGCTAGGAGATGATGTTGTTGAGGTGATATACGTTGGTTGTTTAAAGGAAGAAATTCACCCAAATGAACAAGATGAGGTCTCCCAGATTCTTCTTGAGACCTTCAAGTGTGTGCCCACTTTTCTGCCACCTGATCTATTCAGCAGGTATTATCATGGGTTTTGTAAGCAGCAATTGTGGCCTTTGTTCCATTATATGTTGCCTTTGTCTCCGGATCTCGGCGGTCGGTTCAACCGGTCGTTGTGGCAAGCCTACGTATCGGTCAATAAGATTTTTGCCGATCGGATCATGGAGGTGATCAACCCGGAGGATGATTTCGTTTGGATACATGATTATCATCTCATGGTGTTGCCAACTTTCTTGAGGAAGAGGTTCAATAGAGTTAAACTCGGGTTTTTTCTTCACAGTCCGTTTCCTTCATCGGAGATATATAAGACATTGCCTATTAGGGAAGAGCTTTTGCGTGCCTTTTTGAATGCGGATTTAATCGGGTTTCACACGTTCGATTACGCCAGGCATTTTCTGTCGTGCTGTAGTCGAATGCTTGGTCTTACTTATGAATCCAAGAGAGGGTATATAGGCGTTGAGTATTACGGAAGAACTGTTAGTATCAAAATTCTCCCTGTAGGGATACATATGGGTCAGCTCGAGTCTGTTTTGAGCCTTCAGGAGACTGAAGCGAAGGTCGCCGAGCTCATTAAGCAGTATTGTGATCAAGGCAAGACAATGTTGCTTGGGGTGGATGATATGGACATATTTAAGGGTATTAGCTTGAAGCTGTTAGCGATGGAGCAATTACTTTTGCAGCATCCCGAGTGTCAAGGGAAGGTAGTGCTGGTCCAGATAGCACTTCCTGCGAGAGGCCGGGGAAAAGATGTGAAAGAAGTGCAGGAGGAGACATACTCGATTGTGAAGCGGATTAATGAAACTTTTGGGAAGCCAGGTTATGACCCTGTTGTATTGATCGATGAACCGCTTAAGTTTTACGAGAGGATTGCATATTATGTTGTTGCAGAGTGTTGTTTAGTAACAGCTGTAAGGGATGGAATGAATCTCATACCGTATGAGTATATAATCAGCCGACAGGGGAACAAGAGGTTGAATAAGGTTTTGGGGTTGGAGCCATCCACACCAAAGAAAAGCATGCTTGTTGTTTCGGAATTCATTGGCTGCTCTCCATCTCTGAGCGGAGCAATTCGAGTAAATCCGTGGAACATCGATGCCGTAGCAGATGCAATGGAGTGTGCCCTCGCAATGGCAGAACCGGAAAAACAGCTTAGGCATGAGAAGCATTACAGATACGTGAGTACCCATCATGTTGGATATTGGGCTCATAGTTTCCTTCAAGATTTGGAGAGGACATGTCGAGAACACGTGAGACGAAGATGCTGGGGTATTGGTTTTGGGTTAAGTTTTCGAGTTGTAGCTCTTGATCCGAACTTCAGAAAGCTCTCAATGGAGCACATTGTATCAGCTTACAAGAGGACAACCTCTAGGGCAATTCTTCTAGACTATGATGGCACTTTAATGCCACAGGCTTCGATTGACAAAAGCCCATCATCTAAATCCCTCGACATCCTAAATAGCCTGTGCAGAGATAAAAACAACATGGTTTTTATCGTCAGTGGCAAAAGCCGAAAGACACTCGCCGAATGGTTTTCTCCATGCGATAAACTAGGAATTGCTGCTGAGCATGGCTACTTCTTGAGGTTTAGTGAACCACTTGAATCCTTGTAATTCCTATTTTTATCTTTATCATAAGACTGGTTTCGAGTTTAAAGTTGTTTTTTTTTTTATCGTTTTAGGCTCAAGGGAGACGAGGAATGGGAAACGTGTGTCCAAGCTGCAGACTGTGGATGGAAGCAGATTGCAGAACCTGTAATGAAGCAATACATGGAGACTACCGATGGGTCCTACATCGAAGACAAGGAAACTGCCCTCGTCTGGTGTTACGAGGATGCTGATCCAGATTTTGGATCGTGCCAAGCTAAAGAACTTCTGGATCATCTCGAAAGTGTGCTGGCCAACGAACCCGTTACAGTAAAGAGTGGTCGGAATTTTGTGGAGGTTAAGCCACAGGTTCGGAAATATATTCCCTGAAGTTATAAGTGCTTTTATTTTCTTGGTTGAGCTGAAAATCGATTTATCGTATAAGTTAGATCACATGTCAGCCATGCATAACGAGCTGATCATATTCGAATTATCTTGAAGCTGATTAAGGATTAAACGAAATAGAAGTAGACCTTTGGTAGAAACTGGTTTATTGGTTGAACTAAGCATATTTGTTTTCTATTTCGTATCAAATTGCATTTAACTATTATCGAGAGCTCTCGTAATTTTAACATTTGAATGGTGTTTCTTTATCAAGCATTCATTTTCATTGGTGTATATGCAGGGTGTAAGCAAGGGTCTTGTAGCTAAGCGCTTACTTTCCACCATTCAGGAGAGGGGGATGTTACCCGACTTCGTTCTATGCATAGGAGACGACCGGTCTGACGAAGATATGTTCGAGGTAATCATAAGTTCAGTATCCAGGCTGTTGATTGATCCCAGAGCAGAAGTGTTTGCGTGTACCGTAGGTAGTAAACCGAGCAAGGCTAAGTACTACCTGGACGACACGGTGGAAATCTGTAGGTTGATGCAGGGTCTGGCTTCTGTTTCGGATCAGATGCTTTCGGTTTCGTCGTAGCGACGAAAAAATGAAGAACAAAGGTGATGTTTGTGTTTGGAACTGAAACCCAAGAAGCGGACAATTATATATTTGCCTCGACTTGTTTTGAAATGTACATTATTATTATCATCTTAGTGTTGAAACTGTGTGGAAGCGGATACCGTCTCTGTGTTTGTTGTTTTTTCCCTAGTAAAGCTGTAAATATGTGCTTGTGTGACAAAATCCGATTTTTCCCCAATTGCTGCCCCCTTGATCCTCTTATGATTTTTGGGTTCAATTATGGTTTTTTTATTATACTTGATTCTCATGATTAGATGTTAAAAAATCATGTTATTAATGTCGCTAAAATATTAGTTTGATGTAATGATTAGATGGTTTAATTTTTTTTCTAAGAAAATCAAATTATATGGAATCAATATGTATAGTCGGAACAAGTTTAGAATATATGAATAATTGAATAATTATTTTATAATTTTTTTAGAATGTTATATAGTTGAGAATGTTTGATAACTTCAGGGATTTAGTAGAATAACGTTTTATAGTTGAATGTCATTTGTATATTTTTTATTTTTTTCACAATTGAATTGCTTTTTTATAATATATATATATATACCCACAAAAGTTTACTTAAAATTTGAGCTTAGGAGTCGTCAGAGTCTTGTGGAGGTAATACTATGTTTACCTGTCTCAGTTGTTTGACTTATTTTTTAACAAAAGAAAATGAATATAATACTAATATTACATTGCCAGATGCTTACATTTCATGATCAGATATGAAAAGACGATGTTATGTATATTTAAAACTACAGATAAAATTAGAATTAAGGGCATATATGGCAATTTTTTATATAATTTTTTTGATAAAAAGTAATTAATTTTATTAAAAATAGAAAGTATTCATAAATACAATGAAGATTTATGAGGATAACCGTAAACGTAAACTAAATTATAAATTAGGGCATTTTTCTATGATTATTAATACAAAATCTAGCCACCTAGATCACACAAGGACCATAAAAGAAAAAAATTAAAAAAAACCTAACCAATGCTCAAATAAAATAAATATATGAACAAATCTGACTGCATCGGCAAACGAATCACAAAAGAGGATGAAATTGCTGAAAGAGAATCGATAAATCGTAAATCAGAGTCAAGCGACGTGAAAAAACTATCCACGAGCGCAAAACGCGTATCCAAATCAATCAGAGGGTCCAAAGCAGGGAAGATTAGCATGATAACATATAAGCGTCATATTGATCAGTCGTGGCGATATCAAATCTAACCATGTGAAAAAAATAAACGAAAAAAGGAAAAAAAACCGTAAGCTATCAAAAGATAGAGAAAAACATGTCACAAATACAGAGATAAATGTGTCATAAAGACACATAACACGTCACATAAACATAATTATTCTTATTGAAAAATAAAAAAAACAAAGAAAAAAAATAACTGGCGGGCGACAACTGGCATCAAAACCGTTGTCACCGCTGGTTAAACAAAATTAAATAATAAAAAATTAAATTAATCAATAAAATTGACATAAATTATAAATAAAAAAGAAAGAGAAAAGATGAGGAAGAAAGCGGCTACAATTTTTTTACCAAAAATAATTCTAAAAAATATATATTGACAGCAGCCTTTGAAAAAGATTAATTAACTTACTTTTATGACTGTAATTACTATAACACAACCAGTGTTTCCATTATTTACGTATTTAATCTGGAAATTAGGGTAGAAGATCAAGTGAGAACTAATCACAGAACAGTTGCTGATAATTAGTGACGTCAAGAATTTTGCTGGAAATTCACATGACAATGATACTTATATATTTTCGACCATTTTATAACCATGAATTTTACGTAGAAAGGAATATAATTAATGCATATTTTTTTTAAAAATACTGAAATTAATAGTAAAAATTGATAAATATGTTTTAATTACATTTAAAAAACTATTTATTATTTCTATTGAATTTAGAATCAGCTTTTTCATTCCTCGCTTTGATGATTGACCCGTCTCCCAATTATTTACTTTGGAATTTGGATGAATAGACAATTTTTTGGGTCATTGTTTGACTTTATTCGACAAATAGAATAATGACAAGAACCATTCAAATCTTGGCTAATATTGATTAACATACAATATAAGCCCACAACGATCACAAAATGTATAATTAGTTTACAGTTTTGGATTGTCTATTAAAATACATACATGCATATTGACTATTGAAGTAAATGTTCTAGAATGCTGAAGCAATCTGCTGTGTGTAGAGTGTAGTGCAGTTAGTTTGTTAGTATTCTGTTACACCAGTTTACCAGCTTAGGGAGTTAGTTATTATGTGTATATAAACCATGCTTTCATTAATGAAGAATCAAGAAGATTTCTTTAAGATTTCAGTCTTCTTTACACATCCTGATATGGTACCATCCGCCTTTTGATCATGGAGATTGTTACTTTCATGGGTGATTGTAGCAACACTGCTTTCGAATTCAAGGAAGCTGCTCGCAGTAGTAAGATCTTCACACATAAGAAGATCAACATCATGCTGGATGAAACGATCTTCTTGCTGTGGAAACAACAAGTATTGCTCACGGTTCGCAGCCACAGGTTAGAGAGGCTGCTCAATGGAGAATTACTACCACCACCGGCTCGAATTACTGATGAATAAGGTGCTAGTATTGTGAATGAAGACTATGAAAGCTTTGTTGCACAGGACAATGCTATTGCGTCCTGGTTGCTGTCTAACATCAGCGATCCCTTGCTGCCTCAGTTTTTAGGAGCTAAAACAACAGGTGATGTATGGAGAACGGTTCAAAAATTCTTTGCTAATCGGTCCACTACGAGTATAATGAGTTTGCATTGCAAACTCAGATCCATCAAGAAAGGTGATGATAACATGAGATTCTATCTTACAAAGATTAAAGACGTGTGTGATTCACTTGCAGCGTGTGGGAGTGCGATCTCGGACCTTGAACAAATTGCTACCATTCTCAATGGTCTCTCGGTTGAATATTAACCATTTGTGGCTGTGATCACTGCAAGCAGAGTCTGTTGACAGTGTAAAAACAATCTTGATGGATGTTGAGTCACAATTGAGTGGTTTTCAATCGCAACAATCTCTTCCTATGAGTGCAAATGTGGCTACTGTATGATCAAGCACTCGTGACAATGACAGGCCTACATCTCAGTTCTACAATGGCAATGGAGTTGGCAATTATAATAGGAGTAGCAAACCTGCGGGGCATGGCCGTGGTCGTCCTCAGTTGCAGTGTCAATTATGTGGAAAGAATGGACACTCGGTTGATCGCTGCTGGCATCGCTTCAATCAGATATTTCTAGGCGTGTTGGCTGACAAAAATGAAGGTATTGAAGCACATCACACTATGCTAGATGAATGCAAGTCATGCAGAAGTGGTGTGCATGCTCAAGGACATACTGTATCAATGAATTCTGGTTGGTGGATTGTGGACTCAAGGGCTACCCACCATATCACTCCTGATGCCTCGAATCTTACTACTAGCTCGGATTACACTGGACCAAGTAAGGTAGTTGTTGGTAATGGGCATAGCCTAAGTATAGCTCGAGCTTGTTCTTCAACTATGGCTACTAACTATCATGTGCTGGTTCTTAATGATTTATTGCATGTGCCCTCAGTAACCAAAAACCTTCTTTCTGTGTCAAAGTTTGCTAGAGATAACAAGGTATTCTTTGAGTTTCATGCGGGGTCGTGCTTGGTTAAGGATGAGGTGACTAAAGCGGTGATGCTTAGGGTTGTTCATTCGGTTAATTCTGTGGCCGAACCGACCGAACTATCATTAACCGAATTAACCGAACTTTTTTTTCTTTAACCGTTAATCGAACCGAACTATTTTCGAAAATATTAACCGAACCGAATAAAATTCGGTTAATTTTTTAATTAACCGAAATTTTTTAAAATTTTCTAATTTATATAAAAATTAAATATTTTATAATTAAAAAACAGTTTATAATTAATTTAAATAATATATAATTATAAAATAAAAATTTTATATAAATTTTTTAATTAATTAATATTGATTTAGGTTTAAAAGTTATTGGATCTTAAATTATTAATTGGGTTTTAAATGGTTTGGGCTGAGCCCATATGTTATATATATTATATATTTAATATTTTTTAATTCAGAAAAATAGTTTACAATTAATTTAAATAATATATAATTATAAAATAAAAATTTTATATAAATTTTTTAATTAATTAATATTGATTTAGGTTTAAAAGTTATTGGATCTTAAATTATTAATTGAATTTTAAATGGTTTGGGCTGAGCCCATATGATATATATAATATATTTAATATTTAAAATTTTATTTCAGTTAATTAACCGATTTCTAACCGAATTAACCGTTAACCGAATATCCAAAAAAACCTTAACCGTTCTCCGATCGAACTAATTCGGTGGCCGACCGAATTATCCGAACTAGTTCGGTTCGGTCGCTTAATTCAGTTAAAATCGAATTAATAACAAGTTCTTAACAAATGCATAATGCTTGGAAGCTTGTCATGCCACAATGATAGAAGATTCCAATAGTAGTAATAAAAAGTATGATCTATGGCACAAGAGGCTTGGGCACCCTGCTCATCCTATCCTTGTGCAAACATGTAAACAAGTTGGTGTAATATTTCCTTCTAGAAATAATATGGTTGGCAATTCATTTTGTGTTGCATGTAGATTGGGTAAGAGCCATAAACTTCCATTTAATCGATCTCAAATAGTGTGTACCACGTCGTTTCACCTAGTTTTTAGTGATGTATGGGGTCCAACACGCATAGCCTCCAATGGATATAGGTATTACGTTTTCTTTGTTGATGCATGCACGAGGCATAGCTGGGTCTACCTGCTCAAAACCAAGGATCAAGTTCTGCCAACTTTCCAGTTATTCTTCAGTCTCATACAAACTCAAATCAACGCCACAGTAAAAGAAGTTCAAAGCGATTGGGGAGGTGAGTATCTATCAGTCTCGACTTGGCTTAAGTCATTAGGTGTAGTGTATCGTCTAGCATGTCCACATACGTCTGAGCAAAATGGTGTGGTTGAACGAAAACATAGACATATAATTGAATCAACCTTGGCTTTCATGGCTCAAGCTTCAATTCCATTTAGGTTATGGTCCTATGTAGTATGCACTGTTGTGCATCTCATCAATCAGTTGCCTACAAGTGTTCTTCAAGACAAATCCCCATACGAGGTGTTGTATTCC